ACGATTCTGCTTACACTGCTTGATGTAAAAGGCTTATTTTTGGCAAATGGATTTTTCGAAAGTCAAATTCCAACGAGATAAAACTACCTCTCAAATATTACCAAGTTATATAATAATATCGCCATATTGTTTTTTCTCATGGTAACATAAATGTGAGAAAATTTTATCCAGTTTGTTTGTTAATGGAAATTCTTGCTTTGCTTTATCATCACCATTACAAATGATTTAGAATAGACACCGTAATGATTCATTCGTTCGAGAAGAATCGAGTCCCACTGGTATGGACTAGTACATACGAGAACATTCGAAAACCTTCTCTATGCACCTAACGATCTATGGACTATTCTAGATTTCTTTTGCTGTAGGTATAAAAGCCGGCGGCTGTGGCCTACAGGGAGCAGTTATAAATAGACAAGTGCAGTTGACGCGCTAAAATTCAAAATAAATTCTTAGTTATAAATCGTTTGTAAATAGTTCTATAAGTCTTTTATCGTTATTGTTTTTGTTAATTAGTGTTAAATAAATAGTGTTTAAATAAATTGTGACTTTCTATCCACACGGAACCGACGAAAAACGTAACATTAGTAATAACTAATACTTATAACTGGTGCTAAAACCTTAAGTTGAATAAAAATAATTATAACTGGATATTATTTTACCAAAAATTTTCAATAACCATAATACTATAATATCTAATCCAAAACAGTTATACATATTTTTTTCTAATCGTACCGTTAAAAATAGGTACCATAGAACTTTATAAATACTACCGCATTCCGGTAATCTCACAGTTTCGTAAATTTTTCTCAAAATTATGATCATATTTAATGTGGAATGAAGTAAAAATAGTACCAAAGTAAGTACCATATCATTCAAAAAAGGCTAAATTTTCAAAAAAATATTGAAGATACGTGTTTGATCAAATGATGATTTTATTAGTAGTTTTCTTTAGTAAAATTATTTTTTGGTTTTGTTGGTTTAGGCTTGGTGCATTTCAGTTGATTTCAACAAATTCCGATCTCAGCGCTTCAACGGCAAAAATCAGAAATTATCGTCATGTTGATCCCATTAAAATAATATTGAAATCGTGGCTTTGTCATAATATTTAAGTATTTTAGTTTGTTGCTAGTGCAGTTATTAAGACTATAAAACACTGAGGTACGAGGTTTGTGTGATGTAACGCTGCTTCGGGTAGTAAAAAATAAGTGAAAAAGAATTCGAACTAGGCGTCCGTCGTATTGTGTTGTGACAATTTCAAATGTTAATAAAATTGCTGAAAAAATATTAACGCGTAAAGGAGAGCGTAATTAGGCCGTTGTTGGGTGCAATAACATTCAATAACTCAACTTTCCCGGATAATTCGATAACTCAACTCTCCCGAAACAACATTTTATAGCTTCATAGTTTCTCACACCGATTTCATCAAAAGCAAAAATGGATTCAAGCAGTTCGACGAAACAAGTGAGTAAACAAAGTGCTCATTACATAATCAAAAAATTAAATAGACATATACTATGAGGGGATAAAATGTAATTTGCAATATTAATGCTATACTTTTTTTAATCAATCATGACCCCACTAGCAAAACCTTTGATTAAAACTATGCTAGCTACTGTAGTTGCCCACCAAGCAAAAAACCTCACATTACATTTGCAACATTGCAGTCAAACCCCAAACAGTTTGCTTTGTAATGTTGATTTCTAAACGTTGTGTCGTGATTGATGAAACCTTGCTACAGAAACATTGTTTTTGAATGGCGATTAAAACGTTTTTTCTGCAACATTGCAACAAAGATTCAAATGAAAGATCCGCGAAGTTAATAATAATTAATAATATAACAAGTATACCATAAGATCAAATAAAACGGCGTCTAGTTGGCTTGGAAATGAGTATCGATGACATTTCCCATATAATTTGACATATAAAATGACAGCGATTTTCTTTTCATAGCCATCGCTGACGCTTTTTTTTTCGATCATACGTATAAGTTAGGTTAGGTTAACGCACTTTTTTTTTTACGTTTTTGGTATCACGTTGCTTTTCGAATGAGATTTTAATGAATGTAAATGCAAGTATAATTTTATTACTATGTGTGTTTTAATAATGTTTGGTTACCAATGTTTGTGGCCATGAATAAGTATAACAAATTGTGTTTAGTTTGTTTTTAAGTTAAATTTTATGTATTAGGTTAGCTTTTAGCCAACTGACAATTGAAGTAGATAAAACCAGGATACGAGTATATCAATCTAATGATAAAATTCGATTCAAGAGGTAGAGTTGAGTAATTCCTTATTTAATGAGTGGCCGAAAAAATCAGTAAGTTCTCAGTACTCAGTACTTAACAGTATTTTTGATATTTTTGAAACAACCCACCAAGCGAGAAACCTCACATTGCATTTGCAACATTGCAGACAATCAGGAATAATCAAGAAAGACCATAAAAGAAAAGAGTGAATACGACAAGAGACCCAGGTAATAGATGTCATCCACAGAATCATATCCCTCAAATGGCAATGAGCAGGATACCTGGCAATCATGGTACAAAGAATACAAGGTATGATATTGCGCAGGTTGGTCGCTACGTCACAGTTCAAATCGTCAAGATCAATTGCGCGCCAGTTCAAATCGTCAAGATATTGTTATAAACCTGTTTTTTTGTTTATATACCGTCATTAAATTATCGCTAAGCAAGTTACTGTGGAGCAGTGCGTAAGGAGTCGGGCTAGAAAGCGAAAGACCGGAGTTCGAATCTCGGCCGGGACATAACTTTTTATTTATTTTTTTAAATACTGTTGTATTCTATAGTTTATTTTTGTAGTATAAAAAAAGAACTATTTATTCTGTTATTTTTTAATCTCCGTTATTAATATAAATTGATTGTTGGTACAATACCTCATTTAATATAAAATAATATTCTACTTTTTGAAATGTATCGGGCCCTAATTGTACCTAAAAGTAAAATATATTTTTAGTGATATACCATATTGTAAACTATTTAATATTTCAGTCACTTAAAAAGTTAATTTGCATTGAATAATTGCCTACCATTAAAGGAAATTTGAGCTATATAATCCTTGATGGGCATCTTCCTCTAAATTTTGGGTTTCGTTCAACCAATTTATTCTCAAAACCTGAAACATCTACATATAAAAAGAAGCACAGGTCACTAATTATAATAAACTTCACCCTTGGAATTACTTCCACTAATTATAATAAACTTCACCCTTGGAATTAGTTCTATCACAATTACAATACATTCATCTGCATTGGCATTTTCTACTGTTCGATGGAAAACTGCAACTTTCCAACATTTTTTAAATGATGTAACAATTCCTTTTGTGGTTACTTTTCCATAGATAACCTCATCTCTGTCCTCATGTGAATTCAGAGGCAATGAACATGAAAATTATTTACCATAAAGATCGCAAACTAAAAACCTAATAAACAATTTTATACCGAATATAGAAATAAATTTAGTATTCTTACCTATTATCGTCTAAATCCATGTTAATAGTTAATTATTATTTTTAAATATATTTTTGGAACTGCTGGTTTTAGTAATTATTAAATTAAACGAACTAAAAAGTCTTAAAAATAAACAATTCTTAACCATAACCCCAAAAAATGCAGATCTCCTGTCAACTTTCTTTATTTTTTATTTATTCATTATTTTCATAGTGACGTCACAGGTGGTATGCGCGAACTGAACGAAATTGGAGCCGCTATCGATCATACCTTGTATTCTTTGTACCATGCGTTTTTGGCAAATACATTTTAATAAAATATACGGAGAGTACCGCTTAAATTCCTGTCCCGATGTTGAAGGATGGCTATAGAATGTCAATGCATTTCCTACATAAGTCTATCCTTGTTCGGGAGGAGGTTTTCTGCGCTTGCTCGATCTGTAAGCACTTTGATTGGACAGTTCCAAATCATATGATATATGATATGTTTTGTTTTGGTTTTATTTATTTTAAGTTGAGGTTAAAGACGTTCTCTAAAATCTTTCGAAAAATTGGAAGCTTTTTGTTAAATATTCTGAAATCAAATAAGTTTGATAATGTAACATTATGCGCATATTTATCAAACGAGATATTTTAATCGTATCCAACATGTTATGGCAAAACACTTTTTCGACCAAAAGTTTTCAGATATCTTCGATTTAGTTATTTTCGAATGTTTATTTTGTTTATATCTATTACAAACTCAAGGAGCAACAGTTTTTTACAAGTAGTATTAATTTTGATGCTGGTGCAATACTTCTACTCGTAAAATAAGTTTATTATAAATATTACAGACATTTAAAAGAATAGGCTATGGAATAGGTATATAAAAATTATTTTATATCTGTCTCACAATGGGGGGCTCCTAGTGCGTAATAGGTATCTGCAGTGCGATTCTGTAAACATTTCCCTGTCTAGTGACTCATCAATCGTATACAAATAGCATAGGCTCGATAGGAAATTTCTTGCTACAGAGCTTACAGAATCCCATTGCTGATTTCTAAAATTCTTTTTCTAGATAGGCTTCCGCATCGTAAAAACTCCTATTTTATGGTATGTAATTAGTATTCTGAAGGTATTAAAATATTTTAATATCAATATAGTTTTTTCACTGAAACTCGAGTTAAATCTTAATATACATTATTCATATTGTCGTTTTAGAGATTGTGCTTTTATACTTACTATTATGAAAATTTACTGAATAAAATATATAGTTGCAATCCTTTTACTGAACTCCTTAATTTCTTGTTTTATGAGGGGATAATTTTTGCTTATTTAGGTACTAATTTTAATCAGACCATTTTTTAATGAACTCATTTATATTTATATCATATCGTTCTAAGTAGACTTTGTTGTGTTAGACAATTATTATTAAATAAAACGAATGAAAAAAAGTGACAGGTACGATATTTTTTTTTTAAATTCAAAAAATAATTTAGTAAAACCACAATTATTAAGAAATTGTCTTAAAAACTTCGTAGTACAAATTGCATTATTTCACTTTTTTTAAAATTCAAAAAATAATTTAGTAAAACCTCAATTAAGGAACTGTCTTAAAAACTTTGTAGTACAAATTGCATATCTATTTCACTCGACTTAAAAATTGCAGCAAAACAAAGTATAACAGTACATTTTTTACTGTCTATTGTTTCTTTTACTGCCCATGTATTTATGATCAATAATCAACATCAGTCCTGGTTTAAAATGAAACAAAAGTAATTCTTTATTATTAACATATTTTTTATTAAACAAATATAACGTACATATTAAGTTTATACATAAATCAAGCTAGATACAAAAAATATAATTATTTACATTGTTGCATTAATTGTAAATACTCTTTTATATTATGAAAAAAAAACAATAATAATTTACAATAAGACAGTCTGTGTGTAACTGTGTAAGCATTATAATTAGCCTTATGTAGTCTCTATTTTTAGTCTTTACATTATAATGTCTTTTTTATTTTAAAATAGTAAGACTAAATATAATGCTTTTAACAATTATTGATTTTTGAATAAAATTAGTTTCGTATATTTTTGTCTTATATTAACATCCCTTTCATTTCTGATTTTGCTTTCATGAAACAAACGAACATCGAGAAAAATTTCTATTATTAATTTGGTTAGTTGGCTTCTACCACACAAGAAGCAGTAGCCCATTCCCATTGTTCTATTAATTAAACTACAGCAAAAGTCTTTAAAACTAAATCACAAAATTGTCAATAAACGCACAAAGATTAAAATACAAACGAAAACACAGTACACGTGGAAAACAGAAAGTTAGAGAAAACTCTAATCTAATGGCGACTGCCCAAGTCCAAACTGAAAAGAAAATCCACGCCGACGACGCGTCCAAAAATAAATCGATAACCCATCTCGACACCATTCGGCCAATAGAAAAGTAGCATTTCGGCGCATGTGCATTACATCCATCTACTGAACAAGGATGGACTTATGTCAAACTCGATCTTCTGTCCTTCAATCCTGGGACATAAATTCTCTCATTGCTCTTATGGAGAGGCCGCAGTATATTTTAATTAAAATGTATTTGGTTTTTGGTATCACGTTGCTTTTCGAATGAGATTTTAATGAATGTAAATGTAAGTATAATTTTATTATTATGTGTGTTTTAATAATGTTTGGTTACCAATGTTTGTGGCCATGAATAAGTATAACAAATTTTGTTTAGTTTGTTTTTAAGTTAAATTTTATGTATTAGGTTAGCTTTTAGCCAACTGACAATTGAAGTAGATAAAACCAGGATACGAGTATATCAATCTAATGATAAAATTCGATTCAAGAGGTCAGAGTTGAGTAATTCCTTATTTAATGAGCAGCCGAAAAGATCAGTAAGTTCTCAGTACTCAGTACTTAACAGTATTTTTGAAACAAGTAAGTGATAAATTTTTAGTTTTTATTTGTTTTTTTTTCAATGAGTAAAAGAGCATCTCCTTGTTGCTTTTTAGCATCTGATTTTCCCAATAGAATAGGTCCCCACGAAACTCGAGTAAATCCCCATCTTAGCCTCCCCTACTATATGGAATAATAAATTTAAAGAAAGGATACCAATTCTAGGTACCACCAAAGTGGTACCCCCTCGAAAAAAAGCTCCACAATCGCGAATAAACGTCTGGACGATGCTGGCACATCGTCAAACCGCCGGTCACGTGATCGCCGGCAACAAAATGCCGCTCAGATTGTAAATAGTACCGATAGTACCCCGATCAGTCACGACGAGCGGTGGTTCCGGCCGGTAAAGCGACGTAAACAAAAAGAATCAGAAAAAAATCAGTGCAAATCGAACAACCTACCGGTGAGCCGGTGTCTCCTAGTTATAATTCGGTTACATTTTATTTTAATTGTTTTATTTATAAAGTACTTTGTGGTAGTACCAAAACTGTAGCCCGGTGGTTAAAATAAGACTTTTTTCCGTTGTCTGAAATGGTGTTTGATAAAGATAATCCAGTGTCGAATTTGAGGTAAGTTCTGCCAAAATAAACAATGATCTATTTTTCGAAATATCTGAAAATGAAATTAGTCAAGAGAATGGGAAAAGCAACTAAAATCTCAGCTGTTAATAGTTAATTCCGTTTTATCAACTTTAAATTAAAGTTTTAGCTACTTCTGTTATATTTTGATTCTTCAGTTGTGTTTCCTAATTTTTCTAGAATCTAGAAGATATAATAAGAATAGGTGAGTTTTAGATAAACATGCTACAATTTATAAATCAGAATCACTTACTTTTTTTGTTGGAAACTATTCCTAATGACAATTATTATAGTACAGCAAAATAAAAAAAAAACACTAATTTACTACGATACACCAAAACACGTTGCTTTTGAACTGGACGTTTCGCTAACCATGCTACCAAAAAAAAATAAACACTAAATAATATAAACATATTACGCAATATACAAATATGTATAAAATTAATTTTTTAATGCATTGTCCTAGGAAGCTGTGGTCCTAGATACTGCTGTAAAAAATGCCCGGTTGCCACATTTACTTATTTAATTCCTGATATTATCATTAGTTTGGACACTTTAGTTTTTTGTATTACGAGTTTTTGCTGTTATGCTTTAAGCTTAAAAAAATACTAGCAGAACTTTCAGTCGAACATTGTTCTTTTTAGAACCTCTTTTAGTGCGAAGTGTACAAGATAGCTTAATAGCCGTTGCAAAAAGTTCATAGCATCCTTATTAGAATATTTTGAACGTGAAAGCGGTAGTAATGGCTCTTTATCATAGTATAAGGAAACTAGTAGCGTTACTCCTTGTCAAATCCTTTGTTCTTTTTCTGCCACTTTATATGACCTTGTTCTTACGTCCCGTGACCACTGACGTACTGTATAGTCGTGGTCTATAACTAGGCAAAGTATTGTCGTGGCACTCGCCGTAGTTTCACAGAGAGGTATTTAGAAAAATATGAGTTCACAATAAAATAAAATAAAAAAAAATTGATCATCGAGTAAAAAGTTGCTTGAAAACAGAATATTTTCACATTTCGTCGTGTATGTAACAATTCTTCTGTATCTGAAAATCTTCTGACTGAAAAAAATGCGGAAAAAATATATGATGACATTATTATTATCTATTTCAAAGATTTTCTACAATTTTTTTTAAATTTAAAACAAGTTTAACTTTAACATTAATGTGTTTGTTTTGTAGTAATATATTGGTTAGATGATTTTCATTGGATGACTAATACATTGACCAACACATTTAAACTTCAATAATTGCTAATAAACATTACAGAAATTTCAAAAGAGAAAAGAACCAAGAATAATGAGAAATAGCATCACTACTCTCACATAATAAAAGAATATTTTTAGTTATTGTTACAGAGTCCCGAAGGTACCGAAAGAACCGGGAATTTCCGGTTCTGAACACTAGTTACCATATTATCAAGAAATTATGTTTTTTAACTAAAAACACTAAAAACATTTCCAGATTTTTTTTTCAAAAAAAAAATTGCGCTGAAAAATCCTTATATTTCTCGGGTCAAAATATACAGGGTTGTTCACCACATACGACACGGAGTATTGTAGCTAAACGATGAGCTCTTTACAAATTGTAAGTTTTGGGTTCGATGAAGGACTATTAGAGGTACAATTTAAAAATAATTTTACATGATACAGAGTGTCCCAAATAAGTAAAAAATATCTAAGTTGTATTTTTTTAAATGGAACACCCTGTATATTATTACATTTTTAGTTTCTACGATTAAAATAAAGGTAAATTTGATTAAGGTTTATTATACTTAAACCTTATCGTTTTTGAAATATTTTCAATTTTGTGAAATTGCAGTAAAAATTTTAAGGCTTCATTTCTCCAAGGGTATCAAAGTTTTTAATACTAAATATTTACTGAAGTTTATTTATTGATTAGTTATTGTGTTGCAATAATAAAAATAATACTACCTTATACAGAGTGTCTAAAAATTTATTTTAAATAATTTCTAGCTTTAAACGCCAATGACTTCATTAATTTAAATAGAATGCCCTGTATATTTTAGGAGAATCAGATGCACAATTTAATTGTCTATCAAATTGTGTTATACCATTTTTTACCTATCCCTTCAAGTTTTCGTAGAAAATGCATTTTCTTATAATTTAGACCTCATTTATCAATATATCCATGGAATATTGACATTTGAGATTGTTTTTAAAGATGTACCAAATTTTTAAAGAGTACAGATACTAATATTGTCGATATAATTCGTTTATTTCATTAAAAAAATAAAAACTGTTTAAATATTTGTTAAAGAGGACCAATTAATATGATTCCAGTATTCAAACTACATTAACTGACTGTTTGCGTTGATTAATAATAATTGCTCCAAATACTAAAAAACTGAATTTTATATGGGTATTAGACAGTGTGATAAAAAGTAACACCTTAAAAATGATATTTCATTTTTTAATAAATGCTTATTTATAACAACAGAGACTTTAATTGTGATAACTTATTATTATATTGATTTCTGACTCAAATCCACATTTATTTAGAATCATTTATTAACGAACACAATTAAGTATGTAATTAATTAGTAAATGGGCGGAAATAATGGTGTTATATTTAATTAATGGTATACTCTTTTATAAAGATTTAAATAGTTTTCTTTTTGCATACAAATGGGCTAGTAATATTATCGTTTTGCTAAAAACGATAATATTACTAGCCTGTACATTTTGTACATTTGTTGCTTTAAAAACAATCTCAAATGTCAATATTCCATGGGTATATCGATAAATGAGGTCTAAATTATAAGAAAGGCATTTTCTACGAAAACTTGTAGGGATAGGTAAAAAATGGTATAATACAATTTGATAGACAATTAAATTGTGCATCTGATTCTCCTAAAATATACAGGGCATTCCATTTAAATTAAAGAAGTTATTGGCGTTTAAAGCTAGAAATTATTTAAAATAAATTTTTAGACACTCTGTATAAGGTAGTATTATTTTTATTATTGCAACACAATAACTGATGAATAAATAAACTTCAGTAAATATTTAGTATTAAAAACTTTGATACCCTTGGAGAAATGAAGCCTTAAAATTTTTACTGCAATTTCACAAAATTGAAAATATTTCAAAAACGATAAGGTTTAAGTATAATAAACCTTAATCAAATTTACCTTTATTTTAATCGTAGAAACTAAAAATGTAATAATATACAGGGTGTTCTATTTAAAAAAATACAACTTTGATATTTTTTACTTATTTGGGATACTCTGTATCTTTTAAATCCTACAGTTTTAGTCCTACATCGAACCCAAAACTTGAAATTTGTAAAAATCTAATCATTTAGCTACAATACTCCGTGTCGTATGTGGTGAACAACCCTGTACTACCACTAAAATATTTGCACTTAATTAAGATTCACCCTGTATAGGGCGATTCACGGTTATGGTACGTTATAGCGTTTCCGAAACCGGAGCTGTTTTTCGGAACCGGCAATTTCGGTACCATGCTTCTAAGGAACCGGGATTTCCAGTTTTTTTTCGGTACTTTCGGTACTAGCAAATTTTTGTTCAATGATGTTGCAGTTCGTTAAACAGCAAGTAAGGGATGGTTGTCAAAAGTAAAATGGATAAAAAATTGAGGTTTAAATGAAAATAATATCAAATTATTAAGTAGTAATCAGTCATGAGAAAATTAACCTGGAAAAAAACATGATCACAAATGACTCTCAAAAAAAACTTAAAGCACAATTTTTTGAATTATTACTGCAATCAATAGCAGCACACAGTAAGGCATTCATTTTTTGTCAATCCGTCTCTGTGCTGGGACACAACGCTCGAACCTCACAGGTCGACTCAACTGAAACGCTCTGCAATCTGCCGATATTCGACAGATTGTATAAACTGGCAGAAAATATTTGGGAGAGTGCAACTACTCTTTTTCTTCTACTATGCCTTTATGTCCCTTAAGTGTTGTTAAGAAGTTTGATTAAAAGAAAATATGTAAAAGTGGGTAACGTTGTGCCGGTGAAGCTTAATCACGTGACATAAGTTTATTTGATATGAACTATACAGGGTGAGTCTTAAGTAAGTGTAAATATTTCCAGGACTGGTAGATCACGATAAAAGAAACATATTTTCTCTTTATCGTTTTTCAAATCAGTCCAAAATAACCGAGTTATTGTACTTCGAAAATTTCCAAAAAATTTGCTAAAATTTTGAGAACCACTGGATCTTTCTGGGTTTTATTTCTTGTAAATTTTATCCATTAGTTACCTATGTTGCCATATTATCAAGAAATTATGTTTTTTTAACTAAATTCTAAAAAAAATTCCAAATATTTTTTAATAACAATTCCAAAATATTCAAAATATTTTTTCGCGAAAAAGAAACTCATAAATTATAAGTCTCTGTTGTTATAAATAAGCATTTATTAAAAAATGAAATATAATTTTTAAGGTGTTACTTTTTATCACACTGTCTAATACCCATATAAAATTCAGTTTTTTAGTATTTGGAGCAATTATTATTAATCAACGCAAACAGTCAGTTCATGTAGTTTGAATACTGGAATCATATTAATTGGTCCTCTTTAACAAATATTTAAACAGTTTTTTTTTATTTTTTTAATGAAATAAACGAATTATATCAACAATATTAGTGTCTGTACTCTTTAAAAATTTGGTACATCTTTAAAAACAATCTCAAATGTCAATATTCCATGGGTATATTGATAAATGAGGTCTAAATTATAAGAAAATGCATTTTCTACGAAAACTTGAAGGGATAGGTAAAAAATGGTATAACACAATTTGATAGACAATTAAATTGTGCATCTGATTCTCCTAAAATATACAGGGCGTTCCATTTAAATTAAACAAGTTATTATCGTTTTTCAAATCAGTCCAAAATAATCGAGTCTTTTTACTTCGAAAATTTCCAAAAAATTTGCTAAAATTTTGAGAACCACTGGATCTTTCTGGGTTTTATTTCTTGTAAATTTTATCCACTAGTT